TGGCATTTAAAAATTACTTTTTTTAGTTTAACCTAAGCTATCACAGGTTAGTTGAGAGGCGAAAAATTAGAGAAAATCGAACAGAATCATGTGCTATTTTAAAATTTTTATTTGAATTAGCTGGCTTAATATTCAAGCTTTCGTTTAATAGCTTAATATTGACTTCCCACAAGGAATAGTTAAAAAGTGAAAAATGAATAGGGTGGTAATAAATTTGTAAAAACCTATCAAGATACTGAGGTACTTCAAAAATATTTTTTTTTTAAATTCTGATGGCTTGAATATTTAGCTTGCGGGAACGTTTCTAAGTGCGAAGTAAGAAGCTAAATTGCTTTAGTGGTGGAAAATTATCAGGATGGTGAAAGTGTAACAAAAACTAACCAGAACACTTTTTTATTTCAATTGTAAAAAGAGCACAGTGGAATATAATAACAAATTTTCGCCTTAAATTTTAACCTAACAGAATTATTGATTGATAGAGTAGAGTAAAATTGTAAAAATAGATTATTTTTCATCATCTTAAATTTTAACCTGAGAATTGTTAACTTTTCACATGGGTTAGTTGAGGGTGAAAAATTACTAGGGTAGTAATAAATTCGTTGAAACCTAGCAGAACACTGTGGTATCTCAAAAATATATTTGTTTCTAATTTTGCTAGCTCAAATATTAAGCTAGCAGGAACGTTTCCAAATAAGATTGGTTTAGGGGTGCAAGATTATCAGGGTGGTTAAAATTTAGTAAACATTTAAAAAAACTTTTTAATTTCAGTTATAAGTAGAGGAGAGTGAATTTGAAAAAAAAAAGAATTGTTCTCCTTAAATTTTAATCTAACAGAATTGTTGACTTTTTATATGGGGTATTTAACGGGTGAAAAATTATTAACGTGATAATAAATTCATAAAAACCTGGCAGAGCACTCTGGTATATCATAAATATTTTTTTTTTTTTTTGAATTCTACTAGTTTTAACCATCAGCCAGCAAAATCGCTCCCCTTACGGGTGGTTTGGTGGTGAAAAATTATAAAGTTGGTAATAAATTAGTGAACAATGGGTGAAAAAATATGCCATAAGCAAAAAGTTTTTTTCCGAATTCTGCTAGCTTGAATCTTAAGCCAGCAGAATTACTCCCCTTGAATCCCCAGATGCCCGTGATTAATATTATGCTAATCGAGAGAGATTTGAAAATACCATTCGTAAAAACAGAAATAACACGTTACAGTGATAAACACAAATATAAGACCAGTGATCATGGTAATGTGCTTGTGCGTGAGCTACACGAAACCACAGGTGAAGTGCATTACCTAAAACGATTCAAACCACCGAACTTAGGAGATAGTTAGATAATAATAATATGTGCAATAGTAGTTTTCTAGACTAATATTAAAGGTATTTTCTCATTGGAGAAAATTCCTACCTGTCCTAATCAATATTAGCCAAAAAAAATTTACTTTCTATTCGTAGCTTAGAAGAGGTAGTAAATAGAGTGGAAACAAAAAAAAAATGAATACTTGAACGCCCTTTTATATAATAAAAAATTTTCAGGTATTAAAACGTTTTTAACTTTAACTTTTTAAACGAATAATTTTAAAAATTAGCAACTTTTTTCAAGAATTTAAATTGTAAAATTATTTTGCGAAAACTATTTGATTGCTGATGCTAAAATTCTATGTAGTGTTTTTTTTTATATTAACACAATTTTTTGAATAAATTTTGATTTAAAGTTCTATGTCGCCTTTACATACTGACACAGGTACAGGGCACATATTGACACAGGTTTTAATGGAAATAAAATAATAACATTTTTTAGTGAAATTTTAATATTTATTTAACATAATACATTGAATTATTCCATATAATACCCATGAAAATTTACGAAAAAACAAAAACCTTATTCTGGATATTCGTAAGATGCAATCCAAAATCCTCAGCATCTTCACACTCAACTTTCAAGATTATCATCTGATTCTTCGCAATAACTCTCAATTTCGATTTCTGATGTCTCCTCATCAAAAACTTTGCGAATATGGGATTTAGATTTTTTCTATTAATTGCCTTTCTTTCCCACCCTTTTTCCTCCTTTTCTCTTATTTAATTTTCTTATCTATTTTTTTCTGGTGATATCTCACTTTATATTGCATATTATGTATTGAAAATGAAGCTTTTATAAGCTCTCTTTTTGTGTTGCATCCTTTTGCAATGAAAATCCCATTTATTGGTGTTATTCATTAAAAACCGTTAAAAATAGTAAAACGTTTTCAATGAAAATTCGCTATTTTCAAATATAAATAGCTTACACAGTATTAGCCTTGTGAAAAACTTTATAAATTAAAATTTACTTAGATTGAATCCTCTATCGATTTCCGAATTCTTTTAAGCAAAATAATTTCCACCCATGAGAAGTGGTGGCAACCACCCCCGGGGCGGAAGCACACATCGGCGTCATATAAATTTTGTTACTTAAAATAGTTTGACTAAAGGTTGACTAAAGAGGTTTGACTAAAAATTAAAATGTTTTTGTTTTTCACAATTAAGCATAAACACTTGTTTTATCACTGTTTATTTCTAACATTTATTGAAGAGTTTTATATCTTCTTTAGACTTTCCTTTAATATGTTTGAGATGTTTTATTACATTTTGTTATAAATAAACATAAAATATTTGATAATCTGATTTGTATTTTACTCCACACCCTATCTGGCCTAGCTTCTTCTTCTTCAGGTGCCATCTCCGCTATGGAGGTTGTCAATCATCATAGCTATTTTAATTTTTGAGGCAGTAGCTCTAAATAGTTGTTTTGAGCTGAATTCAAACCATTCTCTCAGGTTCTTAAGCCATGAAATTCGTCTTCTTCCGATGCTACTTCTGCCATCTATCTTTCCTTGCATTATGAGTTGCGGAATGCCATACTTCTTAAGTCGTCTCATTGTGTCTAGATTTAACGTCCATGATTCCACTCCATAGTATAGTTTATAGTACACTGTATACGTAACATTTTGTTAGGCGTACTTTAAGAGCTAATGTTTAATATTTACCACATAGGACCTTTTTCATTTTTATCAAATTAGAACGTGCTTTTTCGATTCTGACTTTGATTTCTGCAGTATAGTCATTATTTTCTGTTATAAGTGTTCCTAGGTAAGTGTACTTTTTTACTCTTTCGATTTGCTGGTCCTCTACTATCAAGATTTCGTTAGTATTATGGTTTTTTTACAAATTTTCATAAACTTCGTCTTTTTAATATTGAGAGAGAGTCCGTACTCCTTACTACGCATTACTATTTTACATACGAGTCTTTCTATGTCTTGTAAACTATCGGCTATTATTATTACTGTATCATCTGCATCTCTGATGTTACTAAGACTCCATTTACTCTTATGCCGATGATTGTTCCATCTTCCAGAGTTTCTCGAATTACCTCTTCAGAATAAGCGTTAAATCATGGAGGTAATAGTATGCAGCCTTGCCTGACTCCTCTGTTTATTTCTATTTCTTCAGATGTCCCTTTTTCAATTCGTATTATAGCTCGTTGATTGTAATAAAGGTTTGTTATTAGCCTTAAATTTTTTTCATCTAGGTTTTTATTTTTTAGAATTTCCATGAGTCGGTCATGTTTTACTTTATCAAACGCTTTATTGTAGTTTATAAAACAGACGTAAATAGGACGGTTAACATCCACACATCTCTGTGTCAGCACATTGAAGGAGAACCCATATTGTGTCACTAATATCCAGTGACACAATCCAGTTTAGAGTAAATTCTGGCGTGGATAATTTTCAACGAAATTTTCAAGGTATGTGACATTAAGCTTATGGTTCGATAGTCACTGCACTCTTTGGAATTCACTTTCTTTGGAAATCACACAAATGCTGATTTCAGCTGCCCTAGCACAAAGTCGAACTCGAACTCTTAATAAGTGGATTGACACTTGCCAAAATTGAGGGATAACTGGAGGAAAAAAAGAATTTCATGAGTATGAAATTCCAAAAATAATGAGCCGCGATAGATTTACGTGTACTTTTTTTATTTTTAAACGTACTAGACAAGAAATTCAAGGAATCTTATAATCCCGAAAAAGCAGTTTGTATTTAAGAAAGCAACATGTCATTTCGAGGACGTACTTATTTCAAACAGTACAATCCTAATAGGGGACATAAATATGGAATAAAGGTTTTTAAACTTTATAGTGCTGGAGGCTGTACAAATTCGATTAAAGTCTACATAGGCAGAGAAACAGTATGGTACCCCAAAACTGGTACAATAGTGTTTCGCTGTCTAACAGTCTAATTTAACGACACACATTTAGTACTTACCCTAAGGACAAACCGAGAATATAATCCAGCAGATTTGATAAATGCTAAATTCGGAAAGAGTAAGTCGTGGCTCAACAAAATGAAAATAAAGGGGGTGTAAAGCTGGTTCCCATCCGTAGTAAAACACTACACGTGCACCCTATTTAATAGTAAATGAAGTAGCGCAATAGGCAGCCAGGCAATCTAGAATTTCTAGGATCTCCTGGCAAGAACACATCATGAATATAAGATATAAATGGACCTTCTCAGGACAAAGCGACAAAATAACTCGAACCGAGCAGCCGAATCTGCCATTTAAATATAAAAGGTATTAGTCGAAGTTAATGTAAGTATCTTTAAAAGGTATTTATTGAAAATAATATCGACGTGGTCGTAATTCAGGAAACCCATTAGAAAATAAATAAAACATTCTCGCTAGAGGAAGAATTCATACACATGGTTCATACACACATTTTTTGGCGCAGGTATCTCTACAGCGAAGAAAACTATACCCAGAGGATATCGTTAAGAGTATGTCAGGAGGGAATGAAAACTGTGAGAAATTGTATCAAGAATACAACGAAAGCCAAGACCGAGAAATTGCGGACGAAGTACTGCACAGTTTGGAATGCACAGTTTGGATTCTGCAGGACGACGAAAATGGATGAAGAGTGTAGAAAAATTAGACTTTAGTAAATCAAGCATTAAACCATGGGCTTTACTTGCAGTAGCAGACTCCCAACTAGAGACAAAGTACCAATAGCTCCCAACAGAGTAGCCTCCCACATTGTAGCAACTCCAAGAGAACTTAGAGATCGTAATCACACCACCAAAGTCAAACAAGAACTAAAAATACCAAAGTCTGCATGCCCGCCTACATCTCAATACTGTGACGAGTTTAGTCCAGAAGAAATTATTTCAGCAATATTAGACAGTAAGTCTGGAAAGGCACCCGGCTCCGATAAAATTCATCCAGAATTTATACTCTAAGGTGGCAAATATGCTAGGTAATGGCTGATTTCTATACAGATATGTTAAAATCAGGAGAAGTCCCCCATTTACTAAAAAAAGGCCTCCATTACCGACCTATTTCTTTGCTATGTCTATAAACTTTTAAAACGCTTAATTTACAACAGATTTAGTAAAAACATATTTGAATTGATACCTATTGAGAAAGCAGGGTTCAGACCTAACCGTAGCTAAACAGGACAGATCCTATACTTAACAACATATATTGAAGCAGGTTTTCAAAGAAAGCAAAAATTGACCAATCAGCTGCATACGATACTGTCTGGAGACAATTACCAATTTGTAAACTAATCCGTGCCATTCCGTGTCAAATGGTAACTAGACTTATTGTTAACATGCTTACCGACAGACTTTTTAAGACACAATGGGCAATTTTTAAAGCGTCCAAATGAAGCTCAGGAATTAACTGCCACAGGGATCTGTTTTGGCACCCTTATTGTTTAATTTATACATCGCGGACCTACCTCTGACAACTTCGCAGAAATTTGGCTACGCTAACATTTCACCGCCGAAACTGCGAAGAAGTCATTCTCTTCTCAGAGAATATCGAAAAATCGAGGCTACCCGTGAACTCGAGAAATGGTTCTCGGAGAGATGCGAAGAAATCAAACAGTGCGAAAAGGTATACGACTATCACAATATGTATAGGAAGACAAAGGAACTCACAACAAAGAAAAGCTACAATATTTTATCGAAAGGGCTGTGCGATGATAATGGAAATCTACAACTAGACCCCGACCAAATAGTTAGAATCTGGGAAACTTATGTGGAACAACTGTTTAATAATGACCGTCCTAGTTTGTATACACTGAGCAATGATGATACTGGCCCTTCTATTCTAAAATCAGAAGTGGAGAATGCTATAAACGATCTTAAAAATAAAAAAAGACCAGGCAACGATAACGTATACGGGGAAGTATTGAAAATGCTGTGCGAAACAAACAGTCAATTTCTAGACTCACTCGTCAGACAAAAGGCTATGGCCCAATGCAAAGAAAACCGAAGTGTGCTTCCCCGGTATGGCTCAATAGCAAGCACACGAAGATTATTGACACCCAGTTAAACCAAAGAAGGCAAATGGTCTCAGGTACAGTTAGATCCACACCGAACTATTGGCTTTCCATTCTGAGTTACATTTCACCGCCGAAACTGCGAAGAAGTTATTCTCTTCTCAGAGAATATCGAAAAATCAAGGGTAACCATCAACTACCCATCCACCATGATAAGCTTGATATCAAAATAAACACACTGTGCTCCAAAGAGCCAACTCCTTATATCAGGAACATTTCAACCTGACCAACGCTCGGAGAGGAAAATGGGACAGCGACTTACCACAGAAAGGACACGAAATAGCCTCTACCTATCAGAAACCGTCAGACTTTAAACTGACCCGCAATACATGGACAACGCTAAACAGAATAAGAACAAGCAGCGGTATATGTGCTGACAGCTTATATAAATGGGTAAAAGCCCTTACTCCTGAGTGTGACTGTAGAGCGCAACGGAAGACCGTCCCTCACATTGTTGAAGAATGCCTCCGAAGGCGATTCCATGGAGTTTTCGATGAGTTCCTGAATGCGACTGAAAATGTTTTACATTATATTAATAATACATTAGATATTCGTTTGTAATACTTCATGTAACGTTTTAATATGGAAAAGTTTTTGTCGACACTCCTGATCTGATGGCATTTTATGAGCCATACGTCCGAAAAAACGCCAAGTGGTATAAGAGACTCGTTTTTTATTTTGTCACTTTCACAGCTATGGTAAATGTTTATATGCATAAAAAAATAATAACAAGAAATTGGGTGTGATAAAATTGGAAGAAAATATCTGGTTAAAAGGTTCTGGTTTATCAAGATTTAAATTCAATACTATCAAGGCCTTCCACTTCTAAGATAAAATACTTCATGATATAATGTATATAAATTAATATTTGTATTATGTTATGTTAATCCAATTTATGCTCTTAACAATGCTAAAAAAATTTATACATAGATATTGTAATACGACACGTGTAAACTGCTAAGGTGCCTCAAATATTTTCAAATGCACCCAGCAACTATATCATATCTAGAAATTTAATTTTATTATTTTATTTGTTTTATTACGTTAAGATTACTTGTTTTTTAATATATTGTTAAGTTTTTTTGTTTATTTCTATTAATATTAGCATACAATTCAATTTAGTTTTGTAACATACTATGTAAAAACACATAATTATTATCAGTTTTTAGTTGAACTACTAGTTCAAGCTGATTATAGCTGCAAATGTTAACCATGGAACAAAATTTGTCAGGTAGACAGTGTTGGGGTGTTTTTATAATACATATATTGTATGCTTCAAATATAAAGAGATAAACCTTTTAAAATGTACATTATGATTGTAGTTATGTTATGAATTCTGCAATTTTTAATTTATATAAAACAACAACTAGTAACTATTCGTGTCTTTCGAGATTAATTGCAAACATCTGTTGCAATCTGGTAACTGGTTGTTTAACGATTGCCAAATCTATCCGCTAATCTATCAAAGGACAATTGCCAAAAAAAATCTAAAAATAAACTGCAATTGATCTCCAAAGAAAACAATATTCAGTCATTTTTGTTCTACAGGGTGTTTCAAAAAAAGGTAACCCCGTCAATAGGGTAGGTAAAAAACTGAAAAATAATTGGGGTTTGCTTAGTAAAAAATTTTTGTAACGCCATCCGTTTTCAAAATACAGTGAGTTGAAGAAAAAAAATTTTACGCATTTTTTACGATTTTGCCGAAACTACTGGCAAGATTGTAATGAAATTTTGGAAAAATATGTTTTGGTAGCTGATACATCCCATGATTTTGTTTTTATATATGATTCTCATAGAGGGCGCTAGTTACACGGATCGTACTAAGTATTAGTCAATATAACTTTTTTAAGAGTATAATTATTAAATAAAATTTTAAGTAAACTTAAACATCATTTAATTTTACACGAAAAAGGTTCTCTTGGTAAAACTCGATACTGTGTACCGTTTTCGGAATATTATGATTTGATAATCATAATATTCCGATATAACTTACTTAGTAATAATTTAGTAATTATTATATATTTATAATAACTAGTAATTATAAATATATAATAATATTATAATAGTATTAAAATAATAATAGTAATTAGTAATTAAACAAAACTTACAAGAAGAAAATTAAATTAATGGCTAAGAACAAAAAAAATTCGATTACAGCAAGTATTCAAAATGCCCTTCGTTTTCGCGAATACACAAGTCTATTGTTTTTTTTTTAATTCCATTAACCTTCTAAACGGTGGGGGATCAGCTATGATGTCATTAAATTGACGTTGAATTCTTTCTTCCAATTATTGGTGTGAATTTACCTCTGTAGCATAGACTTTTTCCTTAATATACGACAAAACTGCGTAGTAAAAAGGGTTAAAATCGCATGACCGAGGAGGCCAATGAATCGGAGCTTTTGCACCGCTACCAATCAATCGATTCAGAAAATGATTACTTAACCAATTACGACACCTTATATCAAAGTGTGGTGGAGCTCCATCGTGTATAAAAAATAAAGATCTTCGCTCGATCAGCGTTAAATCTTCTAATATCTCGAAAAAGGAATTATTTAAAAAATCAAGATACATATCACCATTTAAATTTCCAGGTAGAATATGATAACCTAATAATTTGTTACCTAAAGTTGCTGCCCAAACATTAACTTTAAATGAGTGTTGGGACTGTGATACCCTTTTGACTCGTGGATTCTCATCACACCAGTAGTGTGCATTATGGGAGTTTTGAGTTATGAGGGCAACATACCTTGTCGCGTAAAGGTAGTCTCGTCCGTAAAAAGAATGCATTTTAAGAAATTTGGATTGTGGGTTGTCCTTTGCTGGAATGTTTCACAAAAATCCACTCTAACCGGTAGATCATCTTGCAAGAGCTCTTGGCTTTGTCTGTAATGATAAGGATGTAATTGCTGTTCTTTTAGTATCCGCCAAGTACTTGAAGAAGAAGTATTTGTTTGTCTTGCTATATTCCTTCCGCTAACTGTTGGATGTGGATAAAGTAAATTTAAAATATTAATTTCTTTATTAATTGCTCTTAATATTTGTTCTTGTTTTTGGTCTACTAGAATTTATATTTATCAGGTCTAACATTCTTAGATTCTCGACAACGTTGTTCAACGGCTCTAAATGTTTTTTTACTTGGTAAGTTTCTTGGTTGTTAATAACATGTCAGTGTATCGAACATTTGAGCACATTTTGAATATGTGTGGTACTCATAAACCACGCACTCAAAATATTCTTAAACATCATCAATGATCGCATATACAAGAAATTGGGGGAGGTTTGGATTTCGCAGCGGTCTTGGCACAAGAGAAGCACTTAACCCCCTTTGTGGCTCAGTGGTAAGAGCGCCTGCCTTTAAACCTAAAGGTCGTGAGTTCGAATCCCACCTGGGTGGAAATTTTCGTTTATTAAAAAAAATTAATAAATGAAAATAATTTCTATCCTTGTGTGATCTGTACATACCGGAGGGACCGCACACGTTCGGATACAATTAGCGTCTCTTAGCAAACACAATGACGTCGACTTTGCTAAGTCTCAAGACAATTACTCTACACACACAAACACACACACAAACTACATTAATAAACTTATCTTGATTGAGACTGGCTGAATGACAATTGTCCAAGCCAAAACACACAAAAAAAAGAGAAGCGCTTTTAAGCATACAAGTATTGATACAACGAGCAAAAGGTGTTAATACAGATGTCTTTACCTGTTTTATTGACTTTGAAAAGGCATTTGACAAAGTACAGCATGAGAGGTTTATTGAAACTTGGCGAATCACAAACATCGATGACAAGGATATAAGAATAATAACCAATCTCTATAGAAAACAAGTAGCCAAGATTCGAGTAGACAATCAATTATCCGATGAAGTACAATGCCAAGAGGAGTACGACAAGGTTGCACACTCTCGCCTTTGCTATTTAATGCGTAGTCTGAACAACTATTTCGAGAAACTTTTTGAGAAACGACTGATGGCGTCATTGTTAACGGTGAAGTAATAAATAATCTAAGATATGCAGACGACACTGTCCTTGTTGCGGATAGTGCTGAAGAATGACAAAGACTGATAGATCAAGTAGTTAACATCGGTAGAAAATATGGAATGAAACTTAATAATAAGAAGACGAAAATTATGATCATAAGCAAAAACCAAGATATAGATGCAAAGTTTATGACAGACAATGAGGTATTGGATAGAACAGAAAAAATAGCATACCTATGATGCAACATTACAAACAGCTGGAATCACTTATACGAGATTAAATGTAGGATCGAAAAAGCAAGGAGTCCCTTCCAACAGATGAAGAAAGTTCTTTGCAATTTAACCTTGACCTCCGACTCAAAATCCTTAATTGTTATCTGTTTCTATTCTTATGTATGGAGCAAAGGCATGGACACTCACTGATGCGTATTGCAGACGGTTGCAGTCTTTAGAGATGTGGTGCTATCGTCGCATGCTCAGAATATCATATGTACATAATATAACTCACGACGCAGTAATGCATCGTTTACAAAAAGAACCTAAAGTCTTAAAATCCATTGAGAAATAAAAATAAATACATAATCCTACTATTAATATTAGTAGAGAAAATAGAAGGAAATAGAGGACCAGGACACCGCCGAATATCCTGGCTTAAAAATTTGAGACAGTGGACATTTATGACCACCACAGACCTATTTCGAACAGCTGCTAATAAAATACGATAGGGCATTGTGGTAGCCAATATTCATAGAAGATAGTCACTGGCAGAAGAAGAAGAATCAACAACTGTTTATTTACTTTGTTTATTTTGTCATTGTTAACTTTGTTTTATTTGTTTTTTAATTCAGAATTATTGATCTGCTTTTTTTCTTGTTTTTAAAAGCAGTTTTGCTTATTTATTGAAGAATTGTTGCCTGTATGGAAGATTGGCAGTGCATTTCCTGCGCGGTCTTCAGATACTTCTTTTACCACTTACTGACTTGCCCCTTGCTATTTTAACAATTCTTGTGTCCATCATTGTATTGACGTGAATGTTCTATTATTTTTTTCTGTTTAGTGTCCACTTATTTATTCCCTTTACATTAGTTGCATATTTTTCTGATCTCGTCACTACTTACTCGTTCTCTCAGCGTGTTTACTTCATGAAGAAAATATAATCTTTTACTAGGACATAATGAAAAAGTAATATATCCCTCGTATCCAATATTTATTATTACCTACTTATATATTATAGTGTACTGAAATAAGTTGTAATTTGCTAAACCATTGTATTAGAAATACTTTATTTAAAGAAAATGTTGAATGCACTTGAAATCCCTCACAAAGGCCTGCCTACGGTCCTGATACTTTGTGATATGTTTTACATATATCTAGGTATAAAATAGACCTGTGGAAGAAAATAAATCACTGTCTTTGCTTACAATCAACTAAGTCAAGATGAAGCTAGTGTATTGCTTAATTGTCGCTATGGTCTGCTTAACAGCGGTAAGAATTTTTTCATATTGTGCTAAAATATTTTGTATCATAGTATTTATTTTTGTCACTATTTTTAAATTCTGTTCAATTCACTACTACTACATGTCGATTTATAACGTTCTCCACTGTTTCCCGACTTCCAATCGCCACATATCATCCGGTCGTTTCTTATGTTTTTTTAACTCATTTATTTGTCTGTTCCTTTTATCCACGTTCGGTCTACTCGGTTTACTTCGCATTCTCTTAGGTTCTAGTTGCCATTTTAGTATTTTCTTTGGTATTTGGTGTTCATCCATCCTCTGTATATGTCCGAACCAGATAACCGTTTTTTTAATAAGTCATCTGTGATTATCCGTTTGATTTCTATTATTTCTCTAGGTTCGTTCATTATTTATCCTTTCTGTTTTAGATCTTCCTGTCGTTCTTCTTCTGCCGTTGTTTAGTGTTTTATGGCTTTTCTACCTGTCATATTTATTTCTCTTATAGCTTTTTATTTTTCATTTTTGTAGTCGTAGCAGTGTTTTATCATAGTTTTGTCGTCTAATATAAGATATTTTTGGGTGTCCTCCGATTCGTTTTCTTTTTATTGACTTCTACATCCTATATATTGTACACTTCAAATAATTTTTGGGTTAGATAGTTTAAAATGGTCAAAATCTTGAGCCACTATTATTTGATTGTCTGCAAAGTTGAGCGTATATACCATAAACATTTTTGTTTTCATTTTTTAAAACACTTTCGAGGTGTATTATAAATAAAGTAGGGAACAGGCAATATCCTTGCTTCAATTCCTTTGATGTTAGAAACATTGTTGTTAATTGTGTAACTCTATATTAATATTCGTACATTCCATGGATTCAAACTTTTTCAGTGGAACATATGACATCTGTCTTTCTATTATTTAGCTTAAGCATAAAATATGATATCGAAATTCTGCTTGTTCTTCTGTTTCAGATTCCATATATTTTTTTTCCATTTGATTCTTCAAAATCTTTTCATATATTTTTCTCATAGATTCTGTTACAGCTATTCCTTGGTAATTTTCTCATTTTTTATTGTTTCCCTTTCTATGTGTAGTACTGAGATTTGATATTTTTTGGACCATTTAGTCAATTGAAATGTTGCATTGAGATTACAATTTTAAGAGGACGCAATTTTATTTTTTTTATGTCTGGGCTGGTTAGTATAAGCTTAAGTTTAAGTTTGTGGGGGTTTGCGGGTTAAGTTTCAATTTTAAAATTTAAAATAAAAAAGTTATAAACTATAATATCTAAAAAAATTTGAACAAATGTTCTTTTTTAGTAATTTTCACAAATTTTTACATGAACAAATATACCTATATATAATTATAATTTTAACAAATACTCTCCATCTTGTAATAAGGGGTGCAAAGGGTTTTTGTGTTGTATCTCGTATACCAGGCACACTAAAAAAAATTTTATGAGACATTATTTGTAGCAAATTAAATTGTCTACACTCTTCTTATATTTCTTTTTATCGTAAAATGAAAAATAAAAAAAGGAATAAATAAAAAATGTATTAAAAGAATTTTTGAACAATTTTTTTTCGGCTTTATAATTTTCTGGTCATTTTAGAATAACAAGACATCAGAACAATATTATAGAGGGTTTTCAACGAATAATTTTTACTATAAATGTGTTTAATTTCATTAATTCCTCTGAGTTTTGTAGTACTCCGAAGATGGGTGAGTTCTTGAATCTTCTTCTAAATGTGCTTATCTTCGTGACCCATCTTATTCTATTTACAGTAGCTCGAAATAAATCATTTGATGTTAGACCAAACCACTTCCTAAGATTAGCCAGCCAGGATTTATGCCTACGTCCAGTGCCTCTCTTACCCTCAACCCTATCTTTTGAAGAATCAACTGTAAAAGTCGGTATTTATTATTACGCATGATGTGGCTAAAGTACATCATGCAGGGCAAAATTAAGGGCAAAAGAAGTGTGGGAAGAAGAAAAATATCGTGGCTTCGCAATCTACGTGAATGGTTCGGGTGTAGTTCGATTAAACTTTTCAGGCGCGCTGCTAACAAAGTCGCAGTGGCCATGATGATTTCCAATCTCCGCTAGGAGTGGCACGAGAAGAAGGCCTAAGTACGCCACTCTGTTGATAACTTATCTGACTTTTCTTAGACTCTGGAGAATAGTTGTGTTACTTGTGTGGTGTATATATGAGACCCTTAACATACGTCGGTAGCATCACATTTAAAATACCTCTAATCGTTTTATGGCATCTTCTGTAAGGCTACTCTATAGAGGAGGACACTAGAAACGTGACATTTAAGAATTCTTATGCGTATATTGATACTTAAAGATAGGTTGCAGAGAATCTTCTTAATGCTGTAGAAAGAAGTTATGTCTTTTTCAATACGAGGTTTAATTTAGTAGCTCTGATCTCAAGTATAATTAATATTGCAGCCCAAATAGCATATTTTTCCAGTCTTTCTAACAGTGTATCCCCAATTGTAATTTAAGCGTTTATGTTATTGTTCTTACTAATAATCAATATTTTAGACTTCTAGCAAATTAAGTTTTTGGACGTATTTGTTACATGTTTCTGCAACGTTATCCAATATCCTTTGAAGCTTCCACGCACTATTTGCCAGCAACGCTGTATTGTCTGCATATCTAATATTTTTTCTAAGTTGGCCTTTTATAGCAATATCCTCTTCTGATTCGTCTAAGGCCTCTCTAAGATGTTTTCAGAGTATATGTTAAATAATGCAGGTGACAATTTGCAACTCTGTCTAACTTCTTTTTCGACTGTGAAGATATCGGACAGTTCATTTTCTAATGGTACTCTTGCTTTTATTTCGACATATAAGTTTGAGATCAGTTTTTAGGCTCTCGATTAGTTTTCCAAGAGAGACTTTATTAAATGCCTTCTTGAAATCAATGAAACATGCATGCACATTTCAGTTGAAATCCCTGGCTCTCTGTATTAGGATTTGCAAACTAAAAAGTGCTTCCCTCGTTCCAAGTCCTGCTCTGAATCCAAATTAAACTTCACTCAGGTGTTCTACTAATTTGGTGTATATGCGCGAGTGAATGATAGTAAGGAGTACTTGAAGTAAATGGCTCATCAACCTAATTAATATATATTCTTCACATTTTCTACCGTTGGTTTTTTTGGGAAGTGGAATGAGTATTGATAGTAGCCAGTCTTTTGGTAAATAACCAGTCTCGTAGATGTTGTTTAATAGCTTCGTAAGAGCTGTGATTTGGTGCCTTTAAAATTCAACATGCACCTTATCAGGTCCTGGTGATTTCCCATCTTTAATCTGCTTTATGGCCATAGTTTCTTCTTTGTTTGTTATCCCTGGGCCATAGAAATTGTTTATTTTAACTTTATTTCAACAGGACTTCGTGCTGCATCTTCGAATAATTCTTGCATATATTATTCTTGCATAATGGTAGTCAAAATCTGGCCTTCAATGTCTACAACTATACCTGTACTGCGTTGTTTTCTGGTGTTCTGTATCTCTTTAATTTTTTTTATTTTGTATATGGAAATTGTCATGTTTGCGTTGTAGGGTTTTAATTTTTGTACATTTCTCCGTCAGCCATGCATCTTTTGCTCCATTTATCTCCTTTAGTATAGTCTTATGCAACTTTTTGTATTCGTTGTCATGTCTAACTTTCAATTTTCTTCTCTCTTCCATCATCTGCAATATTTTGTCTGTCATTCATTCTTGCTTCTTTTTTCTTTTTGATTTTAGGTATCCAAGCGAAATTGTGGCAATAGAAGTCTTCATTTCATTACACTGTTCTTTTGTGTCTCTATTAGTAGCCTCAACTATTTTCGAAAAATTCTTATTACTCTTTCTTTTAGTAGTCTTATATCTATCTTGAGCCTAATTTTTTTATTAATAATTTTGAGTCCTATATTGATATTTGCAACCAATAGACTGTGATCGGAGAAGATATCTGCGCCTGGATATGTTTTTGTTGATGTGATAGAATTTCTAAATATTGTGTTTATGTTGATAAAATCAATTTGGTTTCTTATGATTTTCCCTGAGGTAAAACCGCGTGCTTTTCATGTATAAATCCATTTTGTGTGTAATTTAAAAAGTGTATTCATTACACTTGTTACATTTGCTACATTCGTTAACTATTTGATAGTTTTTTTATAATTTATTATTTTTTTATTATAACATTCCTATGGTTTTATTAGTTTATGATGGACTTTTTTATAGAAACACATAGTTTCTATCTGTTTCTAGTATCTGGTATCTGGTAGTTCCAGCTACTGTTTTTTCATTTTGTTTAATGGTCTAGACTGCGGTCCAGGATCTAATTCAGTATCGAAGGTGAATGTTTGCGAAAGAACGGAAGTTAGAATTGGCGTCATTGCGAGTAATTCATCTTCAAGTTCTTCGAATTTTTCGATTAATTTTAATATTTTCATGATGTCACTGCAGGTTTTACAAGAACAATTGAGACACACTACAGAGTATTTGGGGCCAACTTGTAGACAACCACACATACTTTCACATTTTCCCTTGTATCTGCAAAAAATTATTTTCACAAGTTCGATGGGTGCTGTAGTCTTGAAAGTTTTGATCGGTATCCAAATTTTTTCACGTTTTTTTTCCAGGATCGCAGTATTTTCTGGTGATAAACTCTAACACTGTGGAAGTGCTGCATCTTGTGCTGACAGGAGTTAAATGTAATTTTGGTCAGTGTCTTGGCAAGTAGTTTGTATCTCATGCTGTTAGAGAATCATCTTTATTTTCACCATATAAATAGACGAAAAAACGTTAGCCAACGACAGTTTACAAAGATAGCTCCGCTTTCTCACTGAAGAATAATGCCGAAGAGATAATTCTGTGAAATTTTGATGAATTTAAATTTTCTCTAATTGAATATTCCTGTACTCGACCCTTCTGCACTCGTTTTCCACCCATCTCGATAGCCTGAAGCGGCGGTTGTGTATTTATTGCTTTAGATTTTATCCTCTTAAATAAATCTCTTATACTTTAAACCTCAAGAAACTCAAAAAGTCAACGACATGACAGAAAACTCCTTTGTTTTATCCGCTTCTTTCTGTATCTCTTGATGGAAAGATTGTCAGATAAGGAATACAGAGGAATGATCTCATTGAAGCGAAAGTATTCACACCTACATAATAAAATTTTTATAAAAAAGATAAATTCGTACCAAAAGATACTAGGACATTCATCCATACAAATGGCTCAGCTATTGTTATGCATGCTATAAGAAGTATCAACAAAAAAAAAACATGTACATGTAACTGTTAACGAGTATGTGTAAGAGTTATTAGTAAATGTCTAGAATATATATCTATTACTTACCTATAAAATATCGTTGTTATCATTTCAACTGATAGCAGAACAATAATAGTTGGAGATGTGAAATAAAACAAACAAAATAAAGACTATATTCATATGATGATTTAAAGCACGAATACTAAAATCAAGACAAGCTTACTTGAAAAATCAGTCCATCTAGAAGATGGACCAGATAGCAGTTACTCCTTTGCATTTAGATATTTACTCTCTAATTTGATCTTATTTACATTTCTACTGTAAAAAACTTACTTAATTGTTAATTTTTTGTACACTTTATTTTATTCTAGTTTTAATATGCCATTTTCTTTTTCAACAGACCGCATTAGTTCCTGAACGCGATAGAGTACACGCAAAGATCGCAGAATGCCAATGGGAATTAGGTTCAACTGTAGACGAACTTACGAACGTTAAAAATGGATATATAACCCCTGAAACCGGCAGGCAAGTTCTTTGTGTTCATCGTAAATTGGGAATCTTGGATCATAATGGAGACATTGTTCCTTATGAGTACTTAAGACACGTTCAAGCTGTTACTCTTGACAAGGGTCGTCAGATACAGTTTCTAGGATGCAGCAGACCTCAAGGAGAAAATGCTGAAATTAAAGCTATTAATTTTGATAGATGCTTCCAATCCATTTTACAAATAATGGGTCGTGATTGATTTATCTAAAAAATAGTTTTTTTACCGATACAATGTATTATGATGTAAAATATAGTTATGTCGTTTAAATAAATATTTTTTTTTCCTGAAAAATGGGTATGGTAGAGTAAATTAGTCAGACTTGTTTTTGTTTATTGTTAAAGTCGACTAAATTTTAATTATTATTGATTGCAGATTTATAGCCAAAAATTTCTTATTATCAAAATGTTGGTGCTAAATAGAGGGTGTTTCATTACGACCTTACACTATCTATTTATCGAAAACTGCTTAGACGATATTTATGAAAATTGTTATGTGGAGATAACAAATTGTGACGAACTTACAGAAAATATTTCAATAGAAATACTAGCGGGGACAAATGAGTGCAATCCAATTTATCCTTTGTAATATTTTTTTACCAATTTTTAACTAATTTATTACCACTCTAATAATTTTTTACCACCAAACCACCCTTAAGAGGAGTAATTTTGCTGGCTTACGGTTAAAACTAGTAAAATTAAAAAAAAATATTTATACTCCCGTACTCTGCTAGGTTTTCAGGAATTTATTACCACACTAGTACTTATTCACCTATCAACTACTCCTTATGAGAAGTCAATAATTCTTCAGTTCAATTTTCAAGTGTTGAAAATATGAAAATACTATATTACAAAAATTATAAATTTTAACTGTTTTAAAAAATTGATTCTAGTACAAATCGAATCGTGTGTCCCTTTTATGAATATAAAATAACTGAGTTTTGAGTAAATACAATGGAATTGTTATATTTCAAAGAATAATTACCAGGTAAGAAATATTTAAATTGAACTAATTTTATTACATTAATTACCTAATTGTAAAGGAGAGTTGGGACACCTTGCGCACCTATTGTTAAAAGATTAAAAGATTTGTGATTATTGGGTACATCCATACACCTAAGCGAAGTGTACCGCCAATCAAGCAATGGGACATGCAGTCGGAGTTGGGACATTAATCGGATTTTAGATTGATACCACCCTCTTCACTATTATGTAACTTTAGCAATAAATTGAAAATATAGCGGCTCTGTACTTAGCTGAGTGTATTTTATGCTCAGTACAATAGTATTTTAATTTTTAATAGTAGCGCACATTCAACTACGCACGATCACGTCTTTAGTTGATTTTTAACTCTGGAATTGTGAAAACATGCACTTTGTATACTGGACGAAAAAGTACAACTACGCCCCCAAAATTACAGCGTAAAGTGCGTAATTTATGCCCAGTGTGTTGGGTAAAAAATAAGAAGATATCAAAAAATAGTAAAAGGTTGAAGTAAAAGTACAATACAAAAAAAATTATTAAAAATGCCTTTTATATTTTTGTTTTGTCAGTTCAAAATCCAATCTGCAGAATTATTGGCTTCTTAGAGAGGGATAGACAATTGTGAAGGTGGTCAATGTATTGAAAAAGCTTTGTAGCACACAGTGGCATCTAAAAATTACTTTTTTAGTTTAACCTAAGCTATCACAGGATAGTTGAGTGGCGAAAAATTAGTAAAAATCAAGCAGAATCATGTGGTGTTTTAAAATTTTTATTTGAATTAGCTGGCTTAATATTCAAGCTTCCGGTTAATAGCTTTATATTGACTTCCCACAAGGAGTAGTTAAAAAGTGAAAGATGAATAGGGTGGTAATAAATTTGTCAAAACCTATCAAAACACTATGGTACTTCAAAAATATTTTTTTTAATTCTGCTGGCTTGAATGTTTTGCTAGCGGGAACGTTTCCAAATAAAATTGCTTTAGTGGTGGAAAATTATCAGGGTGGTGAAAGTGTAACAAAAACTAACCAGAAGACTTTTTTATTTCAATTGTAAGTAGAGCACAGTGGAATATAAAATCACCTAAAAAAAAATTATCACCTTAAATTTTAACCTAACAGAATTATTGTTTGATAGAGTAGAGTAAAATTGTAAAAATAGATTATTTTTCATCATCTTAAATTTTAAAATAATAATGGTTGACTTTTCACATGGATTAGTTGAGGGTGAAAAATTACTAGGGTAGTAATATATTCGTTGAAACCTAGCAGAACATTGTGGTATGTCAAAAATATATTTGTTTCTAATTTTGCTGGCTAAAATATTAAGCTAGCAGGAACGTTTCCAAAAAAAGATTGGGGGTGCAAGATTATCAGGGTGGTTAAAGTTTAGTAAACATTTAAAAAGCGTTTTTATTTCAGTTATAAGTAGACGAGAGTGAATTTGAATAAAAAGAATTGTTCCCCTTAAATTTTAATCTAACAGAATTGTTGACTTTTTATATGGGGTAGTTAACGGGTGAAAAATTACTAGAGTGATAATAAATTCATAAAAATCTAGCAGAGCACTCTGGTATATTATAAATCTATTTTTGGAATTCTACTAGTTTTAACCATCAGCCAGCAAAATCGGTCCCCTTACGGGTGGTTTGGTGGTGAAAAATTATAAAGGTGGTAATAAATTAGTGAAAAATGAGTGAAAAAATATGCGATATATTTTTTGAATAAATTTTGATTTAAGGTTCTATGTCGCCTTTACATACTGACATAGGTACAGGGCACATATTGACACAGGTTTTAATGGAAATAAAATAATAACATTTTTTAGTGCAATTTTAATATCTTTTTAACATAATACATTGAATTATCCCATATTATACCAATGACAATTTACGGAAAAACAAAAACCTTTTTCTGGATATTCGTAAGATGCAATCCAAAATCCTCAGCATCTTCAGACTCAACTTCCAAGACTATCATCTGATTCTTCGCAATAACTCTCAATTTCGTTTTCTGATGTCTCCTCATCGAAAACTTTGCGAATATGGGGTTTAGATTTTTTTCTATTGCTTGCCTTTCTCTCCTTTCCTGTTTCCACCTTTTCTCTTATTTCATTTTCTTATCTATTTTTTTCTGGTGTAGCTTTTTTACAATTTAACGTTGAATAATACATTGATCCAAATATTCGCAAAAAAATGTCTTCGTTCACAGTAGCCATGGAAAATACAGTTACTTTGTAATAATAGGTTCCATCGTTCCGGTGACAGACAGGTAATAGGTTCCGGTAACCTATTACTTTTGTCACCTATTACCCAAGCTGCAAGCAGCTCCATTCCGCTCCATTCATCTTTTTCAATAAAGGAATACTTTCTACTGTTTATAGTTTATTTTTGTTTCAACCGTGAGTGATAAACATTCTATCTATTTATACATACATTTGATGGTTGTTAAAAATAAACATTAAACATATACATCTGACAGAGACTTAAAAATTCAACTACTATACTATAAATTATAAATCATATAAAAATAGTCTCCATCTTAATAATCGTACGTGCTTATGGTGGTATTCCCAGCTATTTAAGTGGCAAAACATAAAGCTCATCATTAATTCGGTTGCAATGATCATCCTATCCTGTTACCGATTGAGAGAAGGATTCCCATCGTTCGATGTTGTCACATCAACATATCGAATACCGATTCGAATACCAACGTTATAGTCACACTGTGACAAAAGTAATAGTGTGACAAAAGTAATAGGCAGTTTGCTGTAACCTATTATTGAGAAAACGAATACTTGTTGGTAATAGTGTTATTTATCCGAATACGTTATATAACGCCCATCTTTAGTTCACAGACGATATCTCACTTTATATTGCTTATAGAATATCTTGTGAAAATAGTTTGAAAATGAAGCTTTTATAAGCTCTCTTTTTGTTTTGCATCCTTTTGCAATGAAAAGCCCATTTATTGGTGTTATTCATTAAAAACCGTTAAAAATAGTAAAACTTTTTTAATGAAAATTCGCTATTTTCAAACATAAATAGCTTATACAGTATTAACTTTGTGAGAAAATTTATAAATTAAAATTTACTTAAATTGAATCCTCTATCGATTTCCATAATTCTTTTAAGCAAAAGAATTTCCACCCATGAGAAGTGGTGGCAACCACCTCCGGGCCGGAAGCACATATCGGCATCATATGAATTTTGTTACTTGGGCTTTTTCCATTATTTCACCAATTTTGAACTGAATCGGTTTAGTCCGACAAAATTGGGAGGTGAATAGCCGGAGTGACTGGAGTATATAGCATGCGATGAGCCATACGACTAAGTTTGACTAAAGATTAAAATGTTTTTGTTTTTCATAAAAAAGCATAAACACTTGTTTTATCAGGGTCTATTTCTAACATTTTTTGAAGAGTTTTATATGTTCTTTATACTTTCCTTTAATATGTTTGCGATTATTTATTACATTTTGTTATAAATAAATATAAAATATTTGATAATCTGATTTGTATCTTACTCCGCACCCGAGCTGGCCTAGCTTCTTCTTCTTCAGGTGCCATCTTCGCTATGGAGGTTGTCAATCATCATAGCTATTTTGAGATACTACCACTAACCGCATAGACCTTTTTCATTTTCATAAAATTAGAACGTGCTTTTTTGATTCTGACTTTGATTTCAGCAGTGTAGTCATTATTTTCTGTTATAAATGTTTCTAGGTAAGTGTACTTTTTTACTCTTTCGATCTGCTGGTTCTCTACTATCAAGATTTCGTTAGCATTATGGTTGTTTTTACAAATTTTTATAAACTTCATCTTTTTAATATTGAGAGAGAGTCCGTACTCCCTACTATGCATCACTATTTTACCTACGGGTCTTTCCATGTCTTGCAAACTATCGGCTATTATTACTGTATCATCTGCATCTCTGATGTTACTAAGACTCCATTTAGTCTTATGCCGATTGTTCCATCTTCCAGAGTTTCTCGAATTACCTCTTCAGAATAAGCGTTAAATAATGGAGGTAATAGTATGCAGCCTTGCCTGACTCCTCTCTTTATTTCTATTTCTTCAGATGTCTCTTTTTCAATTCGTATTATCGCTCGCTGATTGTAATAAAGGTTTGTTATTAGCCTTAAATCTCTTTCATCTAGGTTTTTCTTTTTTAGAATTTCCATGAGTCAGTCATGTTATACCATATCAAACGCTTTATTGTAGTCTATAAAACAGGCGTAAATAGGACGGTTGACATCCAAAGGTCTCTGTGTCAGCACATTTAAGGAGAATAATGACCCTCTGGTACCCATACCATTGAGGAACCCATATTGTGTCACTAATATCCAGCTCCAGTTTAGAGTGAATTCTGGCGTGGATAATTTTCAACAAAATTTTCAAGGTATGTGACATTAAGCTTATGGTTCGATAGTCAGTGC